AACTTTTAAATATATAACACGAATAATGTTTCAACAATAGTAACATGGTACCTTAAACTTTTAAATATATAACACGAATAATGTTTCAACAATAGTAACATGGTAACTATAGTTTCTAAATAAAAAACACGATTTAACAATAGTAACATGGTATTTAGAGCTTCTATATACAAAACACTATTTCAACAATAGCAAATAGGTACCTATAGTTTCTATATACAAAAGAAAAAATGTCTCAACAATAATAACATTATAACTATAGGTTCTATATAAAAAACACAATATGTGAAACAATAGTAAAAATGTAACTATAGCTTATACATACAAAAACCAATAATAGTTCAACAATTGAACATAACTATACCTTCTATATACAAAACACGAATAATGTTTCAAAAATAGTAACATGACAACTAAAGCTTTTATATATGAAACATAAGTAATTTTTCACTAAGAGTAACATGGTAACTATAGCTTCTAAATACAAAACACAAATTATGTTTCAACAATAGTAAAATAGTAACTATAGCTTCTAAATACAAAACGCAAATTATGTTTCAACAATAGTAAAATAGTAACTATAGCTTCTATATAAAAAACAATATTTCAACAATCGTAAAAAGGTAACTGGCGTCTACATAAAAAACAATATTTCAACAGTTGTAAAAAGATAACTATAGCTTCTGTGTACAAAACACAAATAATGTTTCAACTATAGTAACATGATAACTATAGTTTCTAAACAAAAAAAACATGTTTTAACAATAATAACATGGTATGTAGAGCTTCTATATACAAAACACAATATTTCAACAATGGTAACATTGTAACTAAAATTTTATACATAACACAAAAATCATGTTTCAACAATAGTAACATGGTAACTATAGTTTCAATATACAAAACACTATTTCAACAATAGCAAAAAGGTAACTATTGTTTCTATATACAAAACACTATTTCAACAATAGCAAAAAGGTAACTGTAGTTTCTATATACAAAACACAAATAATGTTTAAACAATAGTAACATGCTGACTATAGTTTCAACAATATTAACATGGTAAATATAGTTTCTTTATACAAAAGAAAAAATGTCTCAACAATAATAACATTATAACTATAGGTTCTATATACAAAACACAATATTTGAAACAATAGTAAAAATGTAAATATAGCTTATACATACAAAACACAATTTCAACAACAGCAAACAGGTAACTATAGTTTCTATATACAAAACTCAAATAATGTTTAAACAATAGTAACATGCTGACTATAGTTTCAACAATAGTAACATGGTAACTAAAACCTTTATGTTTTAACCAATAATATTTCAACAATTGTAACATAACTATAGCTTCTATATACAAAGCACAAATAATGTTTCAAAAATAGTAACATGACAACTAAAGCTTTTATATATGAAACATAAGTAATTTTTCACTAAGAGTAACATGGTAACTATAGCTTCTAAATACAAAACACAAATTATGTTTCAACAATAGTAAAATAGTAACTATAGCTTCTATATACAAAACAAATAATTTTTCAACAATAGTAACATAACTATAGCTTCTATATAAAAAACAATATTTCAACAATCATAAAAAGATAACTATAGCTTCTGTGTACAAAACACAAATAATGTTTCAACTATAGTAACATGATAACTATAGTTTCTAAATAAAAAACACGTTTTAACAATAGTAACATGGTATTTATAGCTTCTGTATACAAAACAAATAATGTTTCAACAATAGTAAAAAGGTAGCTATAGCTTCTATATACAAAACACAATATTTCAACAATAGTAAACAGGTAACTAAAAGTTTTATACATAAAACAAAAATCATGTTTCAACAATAGTAAGATGTTAAATATATCTTCTGTATACAGAACACAATATTTCAACAATAGTAAAAAGGTTACTATAGCTTCTATATACAAAACAATATTTCAACAATAGCAAAAAAGGTAACTGTAGTTTCTATATACAAAACACAAATAATGTTTAAACAATAGTAACATGCTGACTATAGTTTCAACAATAGTAACATGGTAACTAAAACTTTTATGTACATAATGGAAATAATGTTTCAACAATATTAACATGGTAAATATAGTTTCTTTATAGAAAAGAAAAAATGTCTCAACAATAATAACATTATAACTATAGGTTCTATATACAAAACACAATATGTGAAACAATAGTAAAAATGTAACTATAGCTTATACATATAAAACACCAATAAGTTTTCCAAGTCTGTCTTGATCCTTACTTAATATCTCATTCACGTAGGAGTCTTTTTCAGGTTGTGTGGGGTGGGCTCAGCCATCTCCTTTATGTCTTTGTGACATGGAGCTTCTGGTTTCCAAAGCTCTCATGTCTCTTTATGCACAAGAGATTCTATCAATTTTGGGAACTTTGATGTTGCTTGTGTCTCTTGTTCCTCTCAGATACACCCACAAGAGTTTTCTTTAGTGGAACCTGGCTGATCAGTTGAATATATAACAAAAATTCCATGTCATCTCTAGTGTGTCTTTTTCTGTCTCTTCACCTTTTACTGTCATGGTAACTTGATCACTTCCACAAAAAACTGGGTGTCCCTCTACCTCCCCCTCACCCAGACCTGTATCTGTTCACCAATGCCTCTCTTTCCATCTGGGGGCAGTTCTGGACTCCTATGCCCTTTCCAGCATAATGTTTGCATAGAAGTGGTCTTTTCATATCAAAGTTGTAGAACTGTTGGCTGCTTATGAAGCTTACCATCATTTTCAGTGTCAACTGTCTTTTCATCTTGTGATGATCCATTTGGACAACTCCACTGTCATGTTTTACCTCAACCAACAAGGGGCACTCGATCTCTGACCTCTGATTTCTAGATCTGGACTTTCTGTCTTGGAGGCCCATGACCATCACATTCAGTTGTCAGCCTGTTATGTTCTTGGAGTATTGAACCTGGTGGTGGATCAACTGTTTCGCTTAGATTGGATTGTTCCCACAGAGTGGTTTCTTCTTTGCACTGGTATTTCAGTGGATTTGTTCCCTTTCATCAATGCCTTTGGACTTCCCTCAAAACTAATCTTCCTCTTTTGTAACCACCATTCACAGAATCCAGAGCTTTGGCAGTTGATGTTTTAAACCAAAATTGTACTAATGACTTTCTTTATTACTATCCTCCTGTTTGACTTTTTCTCAGGCTTCTATCTGTTATTAAAAACTCATGCTTGTTACTTTTCATTGCTTCTCGTTACCCTGCTAAGTTTGATTTTCACTTCTGCACTTTTTATTGTCTTCCTCTTCCACCTTGGAAGTTCCATTTATGTCAATCCTGTACATCTAGCCTGCCCACTATGTGTCATGCCTTCATCTTCACCCATGGACTTTGTCCAGTCCTTTGAAATATAGCAGGCTTTTCATACTAACCATCCACTCTTGCACTTTATTATTGCAAATGGATGGTTTACAGCTGCTGTTTCATTTGCTACTCCCTCCTTACAGGCTGTCCTACTTTTCCATATCTCAGTTCCTTTTTTACCTGGATTTTCAACAACAGTTTCTCTGTTTCTGCAGTTGCTGATTACAGAGCAGCTTTTTTAATGATCTTCTCAGTCTTCCCTGGCCATTCTGAAGCCCTGTTCTAGTTTTTATGGACCTTTCAGATTTTTTCTCCTCAGCTGCCCTCCTTGCCTGGTCCCTCTTCTTTGGACATGTGCTACGTGTATTGTCTTGGGAGGTGATCAGATGTTTTCTTCACTTCACCTTCCATTTCTTCTTTATACAATTGTTCTGACCCAATCGTTTTTTGTGTCATATTCAGGCAGTTCAGTATTATTTTGCTTGTATTACATTGGGATCACTTAGTCTTTTATTGCATTCAATCACTCTTTCTTTCAGCACTTATCACCTTACACTTTGACTGGTTGGGTTTCTAGACTCATCTGCTTTGTTTATTCTTCCATGGGAGAGAACTCTTGTCAACTTTGTCAGATAACTTCCTATCAGGTTCATCATCTCACAACTTCTCCCATCATCCTTGTCCCCTGGATGAGATCTCGTAGACAGTGATAAGGACAAACCTTGACACATTTATGTCCTGTTACTGTAGTCACAATTATACAGTCTTCCTAGGGACTCTGTTGCTGTGAATATTTATTATTTGTTACTTTTTTCTTTTTACAACTCTCTCATTGCCATTATAATATATTGATGTATATAAACTGAAGGTGATGGAACTCACCAAGCAGATGGTGATGCCTCACAGGAAACATTTCTCTGCATTGAGTAAGAGGCGAGTACAGCAAGTGTTAAGCCCATTTCCCCCTCCTCTTTGGCCAATGTTGAGATATGGTTTTCCACAATGATGCTTCAGCAGTGTGTGTGTATATTTTCTATTCCAGGCCATACTTCAAATGAAGGAAGAAAAATGTCAGCACTAGGTGTTTGCCTCCTCTCACTCATGACTAGTGCCTGCTTCCTCAGTTGTAGCAACCCATTGCACTGTCTATCAATTTGAGATCTTGTGTTAAGTCCAAACACCTCTCGGATGTTAACCCTCACACAAATTATTTCCTCCCTCAATGGGAAGTAGGGTTGGGGTGTTACCTGGAAGTATAGTACAGGCCATCCTACTACATTATAAACCAAACCTATGGTTAGTCCAGCTAGATAGGTCTTGTGATCTCCTCGGAATGCAGGTTGGAGATATTTTCTTACGGTACTTGACTATTCTTATAAATATCTCACTTAAGTATTTCTCCAACATAGAACAATCTATCCCTTGCCACACTACCCACTGACATAATGGCTAATTCAGCAACCTTAAATTCTGCAACACTTTAGCAACACAAAAAAACATTTTTTTGACAAAATATTTTGCTCTACAACCTCTCATGAATGAAGAGTATTCTCTGCTTAAGATGGATGCAGTCTCCTCTCAGGTGATGCCCCACTAGGATACCTTCCTCCCCAATGGGTGACATGCTTTCAGAAAGAAGCTTATCTTTAATTTTTTTAGCTGCACCAATCTTTCTATTATCTTCACTGTAAGATTCTACCTCTTCATTGTACAGAAGTGAGTATAATATTTAAAGTTTACATTTTTCTTACCTGAAAATGTATTTCAGATGGGTATTCATCTCTCTGCACAACCTCCCATCTTTCCTCCTCATTTCTAATGTATTTCTTTTGCATTGTCAAGAATGAGCCTTTGCTCAAATGCTAGTTCTCATGAGAATTACAGCACATGTGGGGTGTGTCACCCTCCTCTTAGTGGATGATGTAGTCTAATGTAGAGGTGGGAACTTCATTCAAAGCCTGTGGTGTCCACAAAAAATCTTCATGGTAGGGGTACAAAGTAATAGCTATTAATTGTGCAGAGAGGTGATTACCTACCTGAAATACATTTGCATGTAAAAAGTTGTTTCATTTTATATATAACAACTCTAATATTGTGTGACAAATGTAACATGGTAAGTACTATTTGTATACACAAGATCTGAAGTATTGTCTGAACAATATTAACACGTTAGAGAACTACAGTAATGTATGAACAATATTAACGTGATAGGGAACTATTGCTTGTATGTAGGACTGTAGTAATATATGAACAACATTAACACTATAACTATTTCTTGTATATACAAGAACTGACATAATGCATGAACAATATTAACACTATAACTATTGCATGTCTATATAAAAACTGCAGTAATGTATGAATAGTATTAATATGGTAACTATTACTTGTATATACAATAACTGCAGTAGTGCATGAACAATATTAACATGGTAACTGTTGCTTGTATAAGCAAGAACTGAAGTAATGTATGGACAATATTAACACTATAAATATTACTTGTATATACAAGAACTGAAGTAATGTATGAACAATATTAACACTGTAACAATTGCTTGTATATACCAGAACTGAAGTATGCGTGAATATTATTAACATTGTAACTTGCTTGTATATACAATAACTGAACTAATGTATGAACAATATTAACACTGTAACAATTGCTTGTATATACCAGAACTGAAGTATGCATGAACATTATTAACATTATAACTTGCTTGTATATACAAAAACTGAACTAATGTATGAACAATATTAACATGGTAACTATTGCTTGTATATACAAGAACTGCAGTAGTGTATAAACAATATTAACATGGTAACTATTGCTTGTATATACAAGAACTGCAGTAGTGTATAAACAATATTAACATGGTAACTATTGCTTGTATATACAAGAACTGCAGTAGTGTATAAACAATATTAACATGGTAACTATTGCTTGTATATACAAGAACTGCAGTAATATATGAACAGTATTAACACTGTAACTATTGCTTGTATATACAAGAACTGACTGAAAAAATGTATGAACAATATTAACTGTAACTGTTACTTGTACACACAAAAACTGCACTAATGTATGAACAATATTAACTGTAACTGTTACTTGTACACACAAGAACTGCACTAATGTATGAACAGTATTAACATTGTAACTATTTCTTGTAAATACAAGAAGTGAAGTAATGAATAAAAACCCTATAACCCGAGTGCTTTCGAAAGGGGAATGAACTGAAGTAATGTATGAACAGTATTAACACTGTAAATATTGCATGTATATACAAGAACTGCATTAATGTATAAACAATATTAACATGATAACTATTGCTTGTATGTACAAGAACTGAAGTAATGTATGAACAATAGTAAGATGGTAACTATTATTTTTATTTAAATCAGTTCATGTAGTTAACTTTTTAAAACTTGAAACTATCACTTTTTGTTATCTAAACAATATCTACATATTTATCGTATATTAGTACAGCATGAATGTATATGTTAATAAGCCTAGAAATCAATATGCATTAAATGAGTGGTGGTTGTAGTTAGAGAAATTTCACATTAGTACAAGCACTTTAACTGTATAGGCTATGATAACTTAATGCTGATATATTAATGTAGTAATTTACCACAGTTTCAAGTGAAATAGGATATTCTCTATTCAAAAACATAGTTAACACGTGAAGCATTGGAAACAAGTAATTATAACACTTGTCTCTTATTGTCCATCCTGGCTGATGAGTTCTGATTTAGAATAAAATGTAGTAACTTGTGGAAGATAAAAGATGGAACATATCACACACCTGATCTGAAATCCAGTCTGGATGCCTTAAAAAGAAGGTGAAAAATACATCTGCAGAGTACATGATTTTATCACAAATTTTAGACCTATCAGTTTCTTCTTATCATAATTTTTTTTATTAGATGTAATATTTTTGTTAATGCAGTTCCTTTCTAGGCTTGTTATACCTTTGGATGAGTTTATCTTCCTCTGTTTCAGTTGATCTTAGCCTTTGGAATAAGAAAATCCATCCAACAAGCAACACAAGAACATCCGTAAGTTGGTTTATTTTCCTATTTTATGGTTCTTGAAATAATTATGAAATACGATTTTATAAGGTTTTTATAAAGTATGATGAAACCCACGAGAAATAGAAGGTTATTTAAGAAAAAGTCTAAACATTGTAGGTACTTTCAGTATTGTTTGGTGATGCAATGGTCAGGTCACAGTCTTTCCTTGTAGTCTTGTTATAAAATAGATTTCTTTAAAATCTTTGTTTGTAATTTGGAAATGAAATAGGCTTGTGTCCTAATATTTGTTTGTAGTGTGGAAATGAAATAGGCTTGTGTCACAATCTTTTTAGTTTGATAATGAAGTAGGCTTGTTCACAATCTTTGTATTTTGGTAATGAAATAGGTTTGTGTCACCATCTTTGTAGTATGGTAAGGAAATAGGTTTGTGTCACCATCTTTGTAGTATGGTAAGGAAATAGGCTTGTGTCACAATCTTTGTAGTTTGGTAATGAAATAGGCTTATGTCACAATCTTTGTAGTTTGATAATGAAATAGGCTTCTGTCACAACGTTTGTAATTTGGGAATGAAATAAGCTTGTGTAAAATCTTTGTTTGTAGTTTGGTAGTGAGATAGGCTTCTGTTCAATCTTTGTTGCTTGATAATGAAATAGGCTTCTGTATAGTGTGTGCTTGTTTGATAATTAATTTATCATAAACTTAACTTTTACAATTAGCTACACTCATCTGATAATTAATATATTGTCTTGTGTCAGACAGAGATAACCCAGGATAAAACTGTACACACTGGCTAACATCACACAGAGATAACCCAGGATAAATGTTAACATATTAGCTTACATCAGACAAAATAACTCAGCATAAAACTTAACATATTAGCTTACATATGACAAAGATAACCCATTACCAATCTTAACATAGTTGCTTACATATGACAAAAATCACCTAGAATTATTACTTTTGTACAAAGGTCTTCAAAGCTAGTTTTTAAATCTAATGCTATGGTGGTGGGAGGAGTTACTGGATCTCAAACCACAGCTTTAAATAAAGGTCTTAACTACATGGTATATCTTCCCATCATCCCATTGTTAGATTTAAAAACTAGCTTTGAAGACCTCTACAGGAAAGTAATAATAGCATCAAAACACAAATCCAATCAACAGCAACTAATCCCATGTCCAAGACCACAAATAGAATCCCTGTTTAAATCATTGAAGGACAACAAAGAATCACCGGAAATATTCAAAACTCCAAAACAACTTCATTAGCAATTTCCCTACTTAACAAAAGCAGATCCATTAATAAACTTCCCAGATGAATTTAGTGAAACAACTTCAAAAATAGTAAACAAAAAGATGCCTATAAAAGAAAATTTACATCAGAAAGGTCTAAAATTTCTCAAGAACAATGAAGACCTTGTCATTCAAAGAGCTGATAAATGAAACTCGATCATGATTTTACCAACCAAACAGTGTGGTTTCTTAAAGGTAAATATACTGAATGATATATCTAAGTTTACTCAATCAAATATTGACCTTAACCCAACATACAACAAAAAATTGAGGAAACTGCTCAAAATATTATTAAAAGAAAAACAATTTCCTTTAAACTTTATCATTTTTTACATACAAACCAACCTAGAACAACAACAATTTACAGTTTACCAAAAGTCTATAAAAACCCAATAATCTTGCGCGAAATTATGTCTGCATATAACTCTTTAAACTACAACCTTGGTAAATACTTTAATTGGAATTTAGAACCTTATGTTTCCAAAATAAACACCCAATTAAAAAACACTTCACACCTTCTACAACAATTATATAGTTTAGACAGTAACGTCATTATGTGTATCTTTGATGACTTAAACCTATTCCCTCAAACCTCACGTTATGAGGCAATACAACTCACTGCAGAACTTATTTCACAAGACCCCAAAAAGAGAATGAACATAAAACAGGAACACCTAATCAAACTACTGCAACTAGCCACATTTATTTGCTATCAATACGGAGATTCGTACTTCCTTCAGCTACAAGGATTTTGATCACTCTTTTCTTACATCACCTAGAACAACATGCCATAGTCATTGCCATATATAAGCCTGCATTTTAACTTAGATATGTAGATGACGTTTTTTGTGGCTTCACTTATCAAGATGAACAAACATAATTTCTACAACACATAAACAACTTACATAAAGACATACAATTCACAGTTGAAAATTAAAATAATTACATGATAATTTTTTTTAATGTAACATCACATGAACCCCCCCAAGGCTTCATTACTAAAATTCATAGAAAGAATGCATACAACGGAATTTACATAAACCGTTTTTCTAATTATGTAATCCACCAGAAGCTAGACATTAAAAATCCTCCTAAATTTAGTATACACTATAAACACTATAGAAAACAGTGAGGAAGAAGTTGCTCACCTAACTCAATTCTTTACTAATGTTAATAAGTTCCCTACAAAGTAGTTACAGAAATTATTAAAAAATTTAAAAAACACAGCAAGACACAAACAAACATAAACACTTCATAAAACAAAGGACTATCCCATACATAGGAAATATACATATCAGAAATTTCAAAAAGACTAGCACATAAATGTAACCTGAACATAATGCCTAGATTCGTTTTTACCCCTGGATAGAAAATTAAACACTTGTTAAGAAAATTATATAATGAACCTTCTTTAACATTAAAACTTGTGTGCTGGATAATGATTGCACCAGTGATCAAAACATTGTACCTTATCTAAATACAAATTTTACTTACAGTAAAAGCTGTATCTTGTCATAAAATTATATAAAGTTAGTTTTGTTATTTTGTATTATCAATTCACACCATACTTTGAAATAAAAATTTGCTTCATTTTCAAAAACCAAATTTTGAAAATTATTCTAAGTTTTACAAGAAAAAAAATTTTTCTTATGCTTTTTTTTTCAATAAAAGGTTAAAATGTTTTTTGTTTTTTTTCAAGTACATTTGATATTTCATTAAACATTATTTTATTTCAGTATAAGCATATGTTACTACAAGTTATTTCATTTGAGTAATTTCTCACTCTTTTTTTCTTGTTGTTATTTGAAACAAGTGATAAGTTTTTTTCCCTCCAGTGGTTTAGTGATAAGTATGAAGGCTTATAACACTAAAACCTATGATGGGCACAGCACAAATAGCCTGTCATATTAATTTGTGTTTGATAACAAACAAGTAAGAAGTTTAAGTGATTGGTTTTGTGTTGCATCTTATTTTTGAATGTGAAATGTTCACTTATGGGTTTTTAAGAAAGATTGATTAATAGATATTATTTTTACAGCTATGGTTACCACACCATGCGATATGTGGCCTCTCTGATCAGTGGTGTTGGTATTTTCTGTTTTGGAACTGGCCTTTCTATATACCATGGAATCATGGGATTGCTTCACCCAGAACAGATGGAACCACTTTTTTGGGTATATCAACTTATCTTTTATGATGTTTAATACATGTGAAATTAGTAAATTTGGGTGAATGTTAAATTTTGTTAATTTTCACATGATGTTTATGTTCACAATTTTAATTTCATTTTAAAGTGACTAATTTAAATAACATTCACATTCTGATAAATCTTATTTATAAGTTTCAAAATAGGATGAATTTGTTTCTGTTGTTTATTAGAAGTATTAAATCATTGACTAGTTGATCCTGGAATATAAAGTATTACTTATATTATTCAAACTAAATATAAATTAAAATATAGGTTACAAAAACATAATAAATGTTATGTTAAAAATAATATTATTGAAAACTCAGCTGTAGTGCAACATTTACAAATAACACAACACACAATATTTTGGGATCAAATGATAGTTGTAGCTCAACCTAACAGTTTGTCTGCTAAAACCATTTGTAATTTATTAGAAATAATAACATTTAAAAATCATGTAGTTGTAAACAGACCTGAAAACCCACCTGGTTTTTGTGTTTGTGTAAGGCATGACCTTCTGCAAAAGGTCATGTAAATAATAGAGAATGTAACATTACATAACATGTCATAAATTTATAAATATTGGATTCTCATACTTATACTGAGAATGGTGATGTAACATAAAAATATGTAGTGTTTTTTAAATGGAAAACCTCAATAAAAATGTCTTAACTGTATAAAAATGAATTTTCCATTTCATTTATTTATTTGAGCGCAACTTTTAAACAAGTGCAAGTCATTCATATTTATTATTATCTGTTTAAGTGGCATGTTTTGTTGTGTTAAATAGCTTGCTCTAATCAGAAGTTAATATAAACACTTGCTTGTTATTAGGTGTTTAGATAGTGTGTTTTGTTGTTTTACAGGCATAATTGTTATTATGTATTTAGATAGCATGTTTTATTGTCTTACAGTCTTGATAGTTATGCGTTTAGATAACATGTTTTGTTTTACACGCTTATTTATTATTAAGTGTTTATATAGTTTGTTTTATTGTGTTACAAGTTTAATTGTTATAATGTATTCAGATAGCATGTTATGTTGTCTTCCAGATTTGATTGTTATTACTTGTTTAGTTAGTGTATTCTATTGTCTTATAGGCTTAATTGTTATTATGTATTGAGATAGCATATTTTGTTGTCTTCCAAAACATACTTACCTCTGCTCACATTACAGGTATTACTCGACTGCCAGAGTTTCTTCCTTTGCCCATCTAAGTATTGGTCTGATTTTTTCTTGCTTCCTCCACTCTTTTATACCCCACTTAATTGCCCTTGGCGATATTTGTTTCATGACAATATCCACCTACGTCAGTGCACCCTCTATCTTGGTACTGTATATAAGCACCTCATTCATATAATGTTATAATTTTTTCAGGTTTCTCAGTGCTACAATCGTTTGGAAATACTTTGAGCATTCTCTGTGTTATGTAGTTGATTTTTGTAAAAATAAACAAATTCGATTGGCAAGCCGATTTATGCTATGAATTCTCGGATTATTATTTCTGGCATGGAGGCAAATCAGGTCTGTCTTATCCCACCTCTGATATCTAGCATTACACAATAATCAAGGGGGAAGAGAGTCACTCTCAGTTTAGACTGCCAGAGGTCTTATTCATATTTAGATGGAGATATATAATTGGTTCTGTGGTGTTCTTCCTGTGGGCTCTGAGGCTGTAATTGAGGGCGATCCTCGACCTTCTGGAGAGAATTTAGATTCACTTTTTCATGTGCCTTCTTTTAGACTGTTGGCTTTTCAGCCCCCATGTAAAACAGTAGTCAGTTTATGGACTCACAACCCTGGAATTTGAGTTTCAATTCCCTATAGTCGACACAGCAGATAGCTATACATTGCTTTGCTCTAACAAAACAAACTTATCTGACTAAATGTTGTTCCAATTAACAGTCTTTAAATGATATAAAAAAGGAATCTACTTTGGATAAGCTGTCTTAGATTTGTTTTTCTTCAGTTGGTACCATCGAGAGTGTGATGTTTTGAGTCTTTCCCCAGTTGCTTTTGAGTCTGCAACTTACTTTTAATATTTAGTTTTCTCTACATCCACAGACATTGTGGTTCATGCAGGGTGGTTTACTTCTCATTTACATGAAGGGACAGTTATACCTTATCTGCCATAGTTGTTGGAACTACGTGATTTAGCCTACCACCACCAGGTGGAAGCATATTCTGACTCTCAAATAATACATCTACTCCTTGAAATTAAGGGTTCTAAGATGGAGATTGTAATTAATCTGAATAGCTCAATGTCCCCTGGTGGGAAAGCACTAAGTCTACAGATTTACAATTCTCAAATCCAATGTTTTGTTTCCCTAATACTAAACTTTGTTAGAAGACTCTGAGGATCACCAACTTCATTGATAATGAGCTGGAACCATTGTTGCATGTTGGTTTGATTATCAGCTTCTACATTCCTCCCTTTGTTATTGATGTCTCCTCTTTCATTAGCTCCTACAGACAGGCATAGTTCCACCCCTATTAGTGTGTCCTGACCCCTGACATTGGTACCCAGAATCAATTCTGTCCATATCCAAAAGTTCAGCAGCTCAGGCTAAAACCTGCCAGCAGCTTCAATGATTATTGCATGCCTTTGGGTTTAGTGGAGGCTGGACTCTGAAAATTTCTAGACATGTACTAACCTTAATCGTTGCAATAGTGGTGGTGTCTCACCGATATCAGCATTTTTTGTGCACAAGGGTCAGGTATTGCAGTTCAGGATTTTTACCTTCAGACTAGCATCAACATTACATGAGTTGTGCCAATTCATATGGGGTTTTTCTTGTCACCTCCATTCCCTAGCGCTACGCACACACCATTTCATAGATGACCTATGAAATTGGTACAAACTCATCAATTGTCAGAACATCACACCCTGATTATACTTTCAGAAACAACCAAGGCAGTCATTCTCAGAGCTGAGACATCTATTCTTGCTCCAATTCAATGTGTCATCAGTCTGGGTTTTTTATTTCATTATGTCTTGTCAGTTGGGCTCAGCTGACTCCCATCTGGAACAGGAAGTCTGACTCTTACCTCTCCTTCTCCCACTACACGAATGGTTCTTTCTCTTTTGGAAATGTGGGCATTACTCAAATCCCTCATGTCTCTGGGATGAGAGCACAAAAGATCCTTTCAATGGCCGTTACGCAACCGAAGGATCATAAACATCGGTTCACTGGATTTCCAGGTTTTCTTTGTCATGGTCATTCTTTGATCTCGAGGGATTGTTAAGTTGAGACACTACAAAGATATGGGTTTTTCTGCTGCCACCTCATCCAAAGTTCCATCTCTTCACGAATGCCTCGTTCAGGCATGGGGTGCATATGTCAACAGAGAGGAATTCCAGGATCTACACACGGATGACAAGGCTTTCCTACACAATGTTTTAGTTCTTCTTGTTCTTCAAAAGGCAATGCCTCATGGTCTGGGGTTATTAAGGGGAAAATCGTCAGGCTTCACTCTAGCAGTATCTTTGTCTGAGAGTTTTGCCTACTCCCTGTAATTATCTTAACCACTTCTGCTTAGATTATATAGAGGGTTAAGTATTTTCATTGCTACCTTTCAGGCTTCCTTACCTCCTTTTCACAGGATCCCACTCTGTGGCGAGTGTTGCTTAGACAGGTGTGTTTTTATCAAGCCAATTCAACACTATCACCCACTAATTCAATATACTTTATCTAGTTTGCAACAGGCTTTGTAGAAATGAGGTGTTCCATAAGACCACCTAGAGGCTGACCAGGTGGTATTACTGTACTATGCTGGACCGCCACTCATGGACCATCATGAGTAAAGCATAAGGAGATCCTACCCATCCCTGCCAATCATTGGATTGAATAAATTGTGGTCAGTTTGCTTTTAAAAATTTAGAGAATTTGGTTCACCTATTGCACTGTTTCCAGAGCACTGTTCTTCAGGACTACTAATTGAGCTAGGGAGTCCTTACCATACCCTATTTCTTTCCAGTCACTGGGGTGGTGAACAGAGGCTTTTCCTCCAGAGTGTTAGAGTAAATTCCTCCACTCTTGGTGAAGATGGGGGCCCTGCAGGGGCCCAGGTCCCTGAATGTTTTTTCCCAGATGTCAGTAGGAGAGCCACCAACCTATGCGGAAGCCTACTTGTAATACTGGTTCAGATTTAATGCTCGGCTATCTGTTTGGGTTAAGTGTGGCCCTTCTTTTTGATCAATATTGGTTCAGTACATTGTTCATGGAAGAGGGTCCATTGTCTCCTTGTAATTCTGAATGCTGAGTTTCACATTCGCCCCATAATTCCAGGGCCAAGTAGAATTTACCTTCCCACATGGTTGGAGAGTGAAGATGAGTTTTAATAATTCCAGACTGAATGAGTTCTGTTTACTCAGGTTGAGTAAGGCAATACAGGATCCTGTCATTCTGACCCTGGGTGTTGCCTTTTGTTCTTCTTCAGGTTGAGGAAAAGGTTTCTCCACTTCAGAGTTGCTTACTTTCTTGTCATGATTCCAGTGGCTCAGAATGCATCACTCTATGGCTACGTAAGTAATATATATATAGATTGCAGTCCAATTGCCCTAGCCACCAACGTGGGATATAGGGACCATAGCTCTATAATTCCAACCCTGAATAGTGGAACTTTGGCTATCTGGTTGGGCCTGGCCAATATTGATGATCACTCATGTACAATTCCACCTTTCATACTTGAATTAAGTTCAGGATGAAGAGCATACCTGTTCTGGATGTAGTACAGTTCCCCCACTAGGGTGCCAATCTTTGACTGACACACCCTTGAACTTTGCAGATGCTTTCTGTATGGATAATGCCCTCACTGGCCCTTACACTTTCTCAATGTGGGATTCTAGCTGTAGTGTGAGAAGAGGTAAGTATGTTTTGGAAGTTAACATTTTCTTTAGTTGAAAATGTATTTCCTATAATACTTACCTCTGCTGACACTCTCCCACCCTTCCTCCCCACTATGAGACTGGTATGATGTCAATCTCAAAAAAGTGATAACATTATCTGAATGAGGTGCTTTTATACAGTACCAGGATAGAGGGCGTATTGACATAGGTGGAGAGGGTCGTGAGACAAATATCACCAAGGGCAATTAAATGGGTTATAAAAGACTGGAGCAAGCGAGAAAAAAT